GGCCCGGTCCACCCTCGCCCTCGCCAGGCCTCACCGCCACTTGGTGCGTCGGTTCTGGAACCAGGTCTTGACCTGTGCGTCTGTCATGCGCAAGGCCTTGGCCAGCGCCGCCCTCTCGGCCGAGGCCAGGTATTTCTGGCGCAGGAAGCGCCGCTCCAGCTCCAGCACCTGCGAGCGGGAAAAGGACGTGCGCGGCTTCTTCCGCTTCGGGGGTGTCCGGTTTTGGTACGGGTGGCCTATGCGGCGTGTCCCAGAGAAGGGCGAGAGCGCAGCTGCCAGGAGGAAGAAGGCAAGGCAGGGCTTGAAAGATGGTCCGAGATGTCCCTGAGTCCCTGGCACCGGCTCGGCCCCGCATCAGCAGAGGCATCCAGAGAGGACCGGCGGCAGAATAATCGGCCCTCCCCCTTGAGTAAGACAGAGACGACCCCCTAACTTCACCCTTCCCTCCCCACAGAGTGAGCGCTGGGATTACAGAGGGCCTGGGCACCCAGGGCAGCTCCCTCCCATTGCGTCTGTCTGCCGGGCGTGAGATCTAGGTTGGGGAAGGATCCCGGGTTTAATCTGGGGAGGGATAAAAGGGCTCCTTGAGTCGGAGCAGAGATGATAAAACAGGGAAGGGCGTGACGCTGAAGGCGTCGAGCAACCTCACCTGTGAGCCGGTCCTTGGCAAAGCGGCGGCCGTCGGCACCGGCAGAGGGCGGTGAGCCGGGACTCGGATCACGCCTCCCGGGCCCACTGCAGAGCTGCTGTGCAGCGGAGCCAGAGAGCCTGAGGGTCCATAGCCCGAGGCTCCGTGGAATCCACCGGAGAACGCTGCGCTGTCCCCTTGGCTATGGCCCGCGCGACCCGGGCCTAGGCCGCCTCCCTGGGGTTCGGGGCCGCTCAAGATCTGATCAATGCCGAAGCTGATTGGCTCGTGATGCGGAATGTTGTGCGGAGCCAGCACCCCGGGCTCCATCGGTCCCAGCCAGGGAAGACCGCCAGAGATGCGGTGTCTGGGAAGGGTGCCTCGGACAGCTCCGGGAGCCCGGCGGCGGCGCGCTCCGAGCAGTGGGCTCAGGGGCCAGCGGGCCTGGC